AAGATTATGAAGGAGTGGGTCCCCTCAGAGGAAACTGCAACAGTCAGTAACACACAAAAGCTATTTAACCCTAGAAGATGTAACGAGAGGTGGAATTTCAGACCCACCAGATAGAAGTCTTATTGATAAAACTTATTCACAGGTGGGGAAACAAAAACTTGAATACACTGGTTTTGGGAATCTAAATTAGTGTAACTACTTTGGAAAGTCATTTGACCATTTCTTGTAAGATTGGAAATACAACCACCACACAGCCTGGCACTGACACTTTTTATAGAGAAATTCAGGAACACGTGGCCAAAGAGAAACACGCACCACAATGCATCGTTCATTAGGGTCTGGAACTGGAAAGATCCTACTTGCTCACCTTATGGATACGTATGGATACAAATAATGTTACGTGGGAAAAAGAGGCAAAATGAAAAAAGATATGCTCCTCATGTACATTTCAAAAGCCTGCAGTTCTCTCTGTATTGTGTGTGTGTGTGTGTGTGTGTGTGTGTGTATGCAGTGGAAATGTCAAAACATGATATGGAAACACAAATTCACGCTAAGCTGCTTTGGGAGGGGATGGAAATGGGGAGCTTTAAAGGCTGAATAAATAATACTTGAGCTTATTACAAAAAATGTCTGAAGTAAATATGAAAAACATGTTAATATTTGTTAACTATCTGAGTGCTTAATAAAACTCTTTTTTGACGTTTAAAAAAATTTAATTTTTGTTGAGTAAAGAGTGGATTCAACCAGGAGGCATCCCAACATAGGACTTCTCAAAAAGGACAGAATTGGATGGGTAAGAGTACACAGGACGTGAGTGACAGAAAAATCAAGCGTCTCCACCTGCGGGAACCATTCAAGCAGCCCAGTGACATCTGGTTCCACAAAACTGTGTGTGAGGACCCTGCTGGAAGCACAATCAGAGTTCTAGACAGGGGCCTGCCATCCCTCAAGCAGCGGGACGCCAACAGGAAAGACAACCTTGCCCGGCAGAGGGGACAGGTTCTCACGGTGCCGCTGAGGCTCCGGGCTCAGGCCACTGTTCTGACATCTACTGGCACGACCGGCGCTGAAGCTCTGGGTTTCCCGAGCTGTGTGACAGTTACAGGTGGAGAAGCTCAGTGGCTGGGTGTCACCCTAGCGTATCACATCTGGGTGTGTCCTGCTGGGGTGTGGGGACCACACGTCAAGGAGGAGACGCGAGCTGTCTGTTCACAGCCCCCCGCCAGGGCTTCTAAACCCCACACCTGAGAATGAGCTCTGCTCACCACGCTGTGGGCAGTCTGAGATGCTTGATGCGAGCAGTTTCTGGCCCAGCCTCTTGGGCCTGGAATTACAGGGATGCACATACAGCAAAGAGGGGAGCAGCAACCGACAGAGAGCGCGAAGAGGGAGGACACAGGTGAGGGACGAGCAAGGAGAGTTCAAGGAAGGGGGCTTCTCCAGCCTCCGGTGGCCTGTTCAACAACCACTGCCGTCATTCTTTCTTGCGAACAAGGGTGAGAATTCCAAACAACTGATTAAAAGGCCTGAGTGTGTGAAAACACACACTCCCTGAAAGTGACTCCATGAAAACTGCTAGAGGGCTTCCCTGGTGGCGCAGTGGTTGGGAGTCTGCCTGCCGGTGCAGGGGACACGGGTTCATGCCCCGGTCCGGGAAGATCCCACGTGCCGCGGAGTGGCTGGGCCCGTGAGCCATGGCTGCTGAGCCTGCGCGTCCTGAGCCTGTGCTCCACGACAGGAGAGGCCACAGCAGTGAGAGGCCCGCGTACGGCAAAAAACAAACAAACAAAAAACTGCTAGAAATGTTAGAGGATTTATAAGACCACAATACTCTTCCTTTCTTAGATGAAAATTAAAAAAGAAAATTTCATGATTTTTTCTTATGATTCATTATGACTTGTTATGAATATTCTGAATGGGTAAAAATTATGCCCAATATTTAAATGAAATATATTAAAGCTCATTCATAAATGTTATTTATTTGTTTATATCATTATAGCTTCCTTTTAAAAGCACATTTTAATGACCTGCTTTGCTTATATACTGGAAGCTAAAATGAAATGAATGAATCAAAATCTCACATTTAGGCTTGTTACACCACAAAATGAGAAGAAAAATGAGTAAACATTCAGCATGTCACTATGGATGAATGTTCACACGCTTTAGCTCAAATATACGTAGGATTTCTGTCTATTTCATAATCTACCTGAGCTGCTTAGTGACGCAGGGCCACCAGCTCCTCTTTATCCCCATCCCAGTGCAATGTAATTCCAGGCAGAATCAGAAGCCTGTATTCAGTGTGCACATCCTCAGGACGAGATGTTCTAAGAGGGGAAGGATGACAGAGTTCTACACCTGGACCCGATTCCTCATTTTGCAGGAAACTCGGTGTCGCCTCCGTGAACCTCTGTCCGTGAGGAGAGCCAGCAGGGCCGCAGCGGCCACAGGACAGAGCACCTGTAGTTTAGAGCCACTGGGCCATGGCCTGCGCGCTCAGAGTTCTGAGCTTTTGTCAGCAGCAGACAAAACACCTGTCGGCATCAGCTGCCAATCCCTGGACCCAGAGGAGGGTCCCGCGCTCTGCTGCGAGCGTGACCAGGCCCAGGGGTGTGGGGGAGGCTGTGGGTGTGGGGGAGGCCATGGGTAGGCCGGCATGGGAGCCGTCAGGCCAGTCAGGCACGGTGGGAAGAAACATTTTTTTCCTATGCTGAAGGGAAACATAGCTGCTCCTAACCAGAAGCATGGGAACAGCCGTCTCTTGATTATCAAGGCTGCCAGGTAGAATTTATTGAACAGAAATATCCCCACGCTTCCCCACATAACATGCCTTTAACCTTTCCATCGAACACCTTTCCACTATTAAGAAGTGGCAACAGAGACACATCCTCATTTGGGGTAGAAGCCTGCTCATCGCCTTCTGCGGAAGGGATGGGCCACAAATAGCTAGGAAGTGTCGGTGAGAAAGGAACGCAGGACCTCCCATGCTGGGGGAGTAGCCCCCGGACAACCAGGGGATGCTGGGCCTCTCCAGATGAGCACGGGAGGACGTGGACCTCCCTACAACGCCGGGTGCACGGATGAGCCTTACGGAGCGAGAGGACGGATACAGCCCTGCTCCCCAGTGCTGGGGGCTTCCTGGCACAAGTGTGGGAGGGTGACCTTCCGAGAGAGGAGGTGGACGTTGTCTGCCTGCCCTGTGCAGACACCACGGGGCCCCAGAGCAGGAAGCGTGGGCGGGAGAGCAAGGCCGGGGGGCCTCCCACCCACTTCTAACCTGTGGAGCCACCACTGTGGCTGGGGCCACACCCTGAACGCTTGCTCACCAGGGCTCCTGGCTTTGGGCCCTTCTCGCCTGTTCCTCCGGAGACTAGCTGGACCCGAAAGGCCACTGGCGGGTAAGAAGTTTCACAAATTTGGGGTGGGAGCCCTGCCACCCCGTTCCTGACTCCGAGCAGTATTGCACGGCTGGTTCACTTCCACTCAGTCGAGCCAACCTCATCGAGACAACCGGTCTGATTTCTGCCCTGTGGTAGGTTCTAAAACCTACCTTTTTTCCCCCTTTTCTACAAGGGGTGAGTTCCTTTAGTCAAAAAGAAGAAAAAGAATTTTTACACTAGTGAGGCTAAAAGTCTAACAGTACCTCAGGCTGAAAATCCTCCTTCAAGCCTGGGAAAACTCAGGGCAATACAGACCAACTCCCATTGCATGAAAAGTGAAGATGATGAAGGAAAAGCACTGAGGACTAAGAAAGCCTAACCCCCCAAGCTTCCCTGTGTCCCCCAAAGAAACAGGATCTGAGATGTAAGGAAAAACAACACAGAAAGAAGTTGAGAAGCGTGTTTTCACTCCTGGTCTTGGCTCCCCATTTACCTACCAAGTCAAGGAAGACGTTGATGTTTGGTTTTTTGAAACTTCTACAAAAATTACCATCTTCATTATTAATTTGGGCCTTTGTAGTCTCTCGTTCTGTTTTTATATTTTCTTCCCCAATCAGGCTCCGCATTTCCTGGCAACCAGGACCTTTCTTTGTCGCTTCACTGCTGCATCCAACTGACGATGACCAGCCAATCTTACAAAAGATGGCGGTGATCTACGGTGTGTCACTCGCGAATCAAGAACAGATAAGAAAAATAGCCAGTGCAGCGATTACTACGTGCGGCCACTTCTAAGCAACTTACACATACAACCTCATTTCCTCTTCATGACTCTCCAGGAAGAAGCATGATTACCACCCCCGTTGTACCGATAAGGACACCGGGGCAGAGATGCCGAATCACTGGCCCAAGGTCACACACGAGTAAGAGGAGGGGCCCGGATTTAACAGGGAGTCTGGCTCCAGAGCCTGGGCTTTCAGTACCCATGCTCATGCTGCCTCTCAGAGGTCCTTCCAAATTGTTTTACAGTTAATACAAACATGTGATGGGTTTCAAACACATTTACAAGGTTCTCCACCAGGAGATGTTCATTCTACCTCAAGCCTGCTCCAGAAGGCTCTTTGTAACCGGCCCTCTCCCTTCCCCAAGTCTTATTTCTGGCCACCTGCCGACAACTACCCCATGCTGCAGCCCAGCGTCTCCAAATGATGGTCCTGACCCATTGGTGGGCTGCAACCAGACTTTTAAAGAAATTAAATAAATAAGAATGGAAATTAGGAGAAAACAGCACAGAATCAGTATTGCTGCACGACTGTCTCTGTTTCATTTCTGTGTGAAAGTTTGCACTAGGTCACGACAGAAGATTATTTTTTACTCCGGAGCACAGTCTGAATGTCACCACCTAATCCTCATACCAGATCTTAGTGCCATGGCACATCAGGTGCCCGAGAATGGGCAGACGGATGCGTCAGTGGGTCTGTCCAGCTCAGTGTGTTCAGGAGCCAGAGTGAGGTCACCCTGTATGTCAAGGCCCACTGTGGGCCGCTCATCTGATGACCAGGACTGGATATAAGTGCAGGCAAAGCAAAGCACGTGCAGAAGCACTGACGTTAAGCCCAGCCTTACCCCTGCGCCCAGGGTACACGTGAGGGTAGTACTCGTAATAGAGATCTGGCTGATCCAGGTTTCCGAAGGGCTCAAACTCCATCTCCGCATTCTGGAAAAGGCCCAGCTTCACCAGCAGTGCTAGCCTCACAAACCAAAGCTAAAAACACAAAACATAATTGAAATAATAGGTTATCTGTGTGTCGCAGGGTCAGAGATTCCTATTCCCTCTTAATTTGATATTAGAACTCGATTTCAAATACATTAAAACAAGAGCTAAACTTTCTTTCTTAGCACGTTTACATAATTACAGGTTTATAAAAACGGATTTGAAAAGGGACACCCCCTCCCCGAAGGAGAGCAGAATCCAGGGGCTGGGGTGGAGGAGCGAGGCCGTGAGCGCAGGGGGAGCGGGCAGCAGAGCTGCGTCGGGGGAGCGGTGGCCAGAACCCGCGGCACCTTCAGGAAACCAGCGGAGGACACGTGAGAGGGCAGGGCTGGGGCCTCGGAAGTGACCCAAGTCAACCTCGTTCCACCACGGAGACAAACGAGGTGTAAAAGCAGTGACCACGTGGCAAGGGCCGGGCTGAAAAGCCGGGCACCGCTCCGAGCGAGCGAGGGCGGCCCTGCTCCGGCCCGTCGTGCACGGCCGCCCGTAACCTGGGGGTGGCGGGCGGGGCTCGCAGCTGCAGAGCAGGAAGGTGGTGGCAGTCTGTGGGACGACCGTGAAGAGGGCGCGGGGGTCGGCTCACGTGGGAAGCGGAGCCGTGTCCGGGGAGGGCCACCCTGGCCGTGTGTACAGGCTTAAACCTCCTCCGCTTGGGCCAGAGGCTGGGGGGACGCAGCGCGTGTAACGTGCTCCTGACCGCGCCCCGCTGGCTGCGGGCGGACAGACAGAGAAACAGGAGCACAGCCCAGACTGCTGCGCCCGGAGGCCTCCAGGGTCCCTCCTCTCACCAGCTCTTCGCGGACTTGGAGAATCTGGAGGCTGGTTCGATCTGGGGGGGGGGGGCCCCACAGAATTTCGAATAAAAGTTAGCAAACGCCCCGTGGAGAGGCGGGAATTTAAGGACTTCTGCGCTGCACCTTCTCGTCAGAGGAGCATCCCGTTGTTCAGAACTCTCCGGGCTCCTCCCTCCTTAAGAATTTAAGGCCCTTCCAGCTCCCAGACGCTGCTGAAGCCGAGAAGGCTCAGGGAGGTAGGTACCTGCAGGGAGTCGGCGGTGTGGCTGGTCGGCAGCCCGCTCTTGCCGTAGCCTTGGCCATGGGCTGTAAGGAGCCGCCCGCACAGGTCCACGGCTGCTCTCCAGTTCTTGCAGCTCTGAAAGACACGGGGACACGTCACCAAGGGCTCGGCGCCTCAGACGCGAAGGCCAGACGGGCGGGCGTTAGGCAGGAAGGGTGCCGAGCCGGAGACGCGCTTCAAGACGAGCGAAAGGGAGTATCTTACCAGTTAACCACTGACAGCGCGGGGGCAGAATTCTCTACGAAAGCTCCGCGACCACAAATCCGTAAGGCTGCTTTCCTTTTTAGCAAGACACCTCTATCTTGTGATTATTATCAAATTACAATCGAATATTTAATTTTAATCTGTGCGCTGGGTATATCTGTATCTAAGGTCTGTGTGTGACTGTAAGCGGTTTATATGTTTAACATGATTCTATGTTCTCAATATGAAAAATAAATCAATGAACTACGCCGACGCAACATGTTCTAGGCCGTGTATCCACATGCAGTGCAGAGGGACGCTGGCTGATACTGACACACGGGCTCAGGGACTCGGCCTCACCGTGCCCATCTCTGCCCTGATGCGACACAGAAAGGAGGGCCACCAGGCAAATGGGCGGGGAAACATCACCAGAGGGAACGTTTGACCCTTTAAGAAGCTAGAAGTGGATGCTGGACGCAGGCTCTCCTGACAGAACAGGCACCACCCGCCGCCGCAGCAGCGCACGGCCCAGTCCGCACGGCAGAGGCGGGTCAGGTCTGCGGGGCAGGGGGCGGAGCAGGGGGTGAACACACATCTTTGCGCCTGTGAACCTTGGCGCCAGCGAGGAAGGGGGACAATAAACAGCTGTTTTCAAGGACGCACTGAGTGATTTTTGTGTCTGTGAAGTGCTTCTTGAACAAGAAGCCGGGGGTGCCGGGGGAGCGTGTCCAGCCTGTTCTTTCCTCAGTTAGAATTCACATTTCTTTTTACGACACAGCTCCTCGTGGAGGAACCCTCCTTCCTCTTCTTCCTCGCTCATGTGTGTGTGTGCATGTGTGTGTGCACGCCCAGCCCGCTTAGCGCAACTGGGCTGGGAAGGATGTTGGTGCGGCACGAGTCCAGGCTCCACAGTGAACTGGCCGTGTGCCCTAATGCAAGCCGCCTGCGCGCCCCAGCCACGGGCACCTCAGGCTCCTCGTGGCTCCTCGTGACCCGACAGGTCATGGCGTTTTAGTGCTGAGTGATATTCCAGCGTCTGGACGAACCACCGTTACCCATTCACCTGCTGAAGGGCACCTTGGCCACGCCCAATCTTTGGCCACGATGAATAAACGTGCTATGAACATGCAAGTGCAGGCTTTTGTGTGGACATGAGTTTGAAATCCTCTGGGCAGAGCAAGCAGCAGGACTGCCGGACTGGATGGCAGGATCATCTGGTTTTACAAGCACCCTCAAGGCTGTGCACACCTGCTCTCCACCAGCAGAGAGTGGAGCCTGCTGGCCGCACGCCCGCCGGCACCTGCGGGATCAGAGCCTGGATTCCAGCCGCTCTTATAGGCATGCAGTGGTCTCTCAGTGTTGCATGGGCTTCTCAACACTTTCTCGCATAATTTTCCTCCCGCGTTATTTTACTCACTGGCCCGACAGCCAGCACCAGCTATCAGATTCCTGTTAGCAAGCTGCAACTGTAACCGGATGACGCAAACCCGATTTCTTAAAATATATCTTGCAGCTTTTCCTTTCCACGATGAGAAGACTGGCACAGAGACAGCGCAGTGTCAGGCCTCCTGCTCCAGGGCCATGTGCTGTCCAGCTCTGAGAGCCACTGGTCCATCCTGAGACCGGACTGGAGCCACTTCCCTCGAAACGGTCCAAAGTACGACAGAAACGATTTCCAGGAACACAGGACTTCCACGTTCTGGTGGGTAGCTCAGAAATACTTTTAGGCAGGTTAAGATAATTTATACTACAACTATCTTCAGATGCTTTCTCCGGTCTAAATTCAGCACAATAATCCCTTTCTATGGTAACAGCGGCCGTGTACACCCTCCTTGAGCTGCAAACGTGGAAAGGGACAGGGAAGGGTGTTCTGCTGAGTTCGGACCAGCTCTGTGTGTACATCTCAGCAGGGCCCTAGGGCTTGGTGACAGCCTCTACCTGCCCGCCTGCGTCACACACGCTGACCCCTCCTGCTGGTGACACTAGATCGCAACAGAGCGCATGGGGCAGTCTTCCCAGGAAAGGACTTCAGCTGAGAGCGAGTAAGGGATGACCCAGTGAGGAGGGCAGGTGTGAGCAGCCGGGAAGCACAGGAGCAGGAGGGAAGGCCCTGTGGCCTGAGGGAGGGGGGCAGGTGAGGGTGGGCAGCCCATGTGAGGACGGGGGCAAGTAAGGCCAGGACCCTGCACAGGCTGCCAAGAGCATGGCGACATTCTGGAAACAGCAGCCCCTGCAGTGATGAACAGTGAATCTGAGGGGCCGTGCAGATGTCGCCGCAGCATTCGGGACGTGCCCAGTCCCCCAGACCCCGCGTCGGCCTGTGGACCACACCCACCCACTGCCACTTGGCCCCTTCCGCAGGCTCCAGGCGGCTCTGTGCACCCTCCGAGGAGGTGGGTGCTCAACTGCTGCCCGGGGACCGAGTGGCCCGCAGGGCCCAGGGTACTCCATGGTCCTGACAGGACATGCGGCCGCTGCCACCTTGGAGGAACTGTGGACCATGGCCCTCAGTGGCTTGTGACTGGTCCACAGCGAGAAAGGCTCAGAGGCCGAGAAACTTCCACAGGATGAGATGTCTGTTGAATAAAATGTAACAAAAGCGGGCTTGCATGTGGCACATCTCATTTTTCTCATTATTATTAATTGATATTGAATTTTACAAAAGTTTTAGTCTAAAGACTGGAAAGTCAAACAAACAAACAAACCAAAAACCACGAGAAAAACCCGAAACCCCAAACCCAACCCCACTGTCCTCAGTGCCAAGCCTGAAAAGCACAGCTGCAGGCGCAGAAGGCAGGGGGACAAGACTGGGGGCCAACCTGGGCCTCTGAGCAGCTGGCCGTGTGGCCTGTGCCCGCCCGAGACGGGACGTGGGAGAACCTGCCCGTGGAGGGTGGAGGAGCAGAGGGTGGGGCAGCGGCCGGGGCAGGGAGGACGGGCCGGCCAGTCGGCCAGGCGGCGACGCAGAGCCAGAGTGAAGGAAGGTGGCATACTGGGAGCAGGGAGGTCAGATCCACCAGATGGGAGGTGAACGAGCAGCGGCGGGCAGTGAGGAGGCAGCTCTGGGGGCCTGCGAGTCACCAAGCTCCCGGGGGCAGCGCCAGGGACAGCGAGACTCAGAGCTCGTTTCTAACCAAATACTCGGAGCCTTACAGAGCAAAGGCGGACCAAGCTGGAGACAGGCCGACTGCCTGCTGGGAAGGAAGGAGAGAGCTGTGGTCGGGGAAGGATTCTGACCGCAGACCCCCGGGAGGTGAGTGCCTGGAGGGAAGGGAAGGCTTCTGTCTGGGGGTGGCGTGGGGAGGTGAGGCCATTCATTGAGGAGTGGGGGGAGGGGCGGGGGCTGAAAGAAGCCAGGATCCTTTCAAGAGGCACTGAGAGCAACCAGAAGAGCCCACCGGCACACACAGGGGATGGGACTTGGGTCTTGGGGACAACGCGTAACCCAACGTAAAACCTGACTCCTTAGTCTTTAGCTTCCTGCGGGCTCAGGGTGGTGGTGAGCAATTAGGGAAATGGCTAACAACGTTCCTCAGGCGCCAGTACTGAAAAGCGGGTTGGGAAACACTGCTCTAGGGTGCGGTCTAGCTCACCCATCCTGCCCCCATAAGAGACAGCCTCGCATTCCAGGTAACTGTCAACTGCGACTGTGTCCTGTCTCCTCCTCTGGGTGAGGTCCTGGGGCAGTGGCCTTGTCTAGGGCACTGGTTTTAGCCTCCAACAGTATTTCTTTACCATGGCCCTTATCACGTATAGATGTTCAAAGATTTGTGAAACATGAAATAGTGAATTCATAGAACTATAAAAGGCAGTACAAAAAATAATACATTAGTAATGGAAGACATGCAAATCACAATTTATTAGTGAGTTGACCTTCAACAGCTCCCACCACACCCCCCCCACCGCAAAAAAAAAGAAAGAAAGAAAAAAGAGGAAAAAAAGCAAATGCCATTGCTAGCCTAAGAAATGAGAAAAAACAATTTTTTAAAAAGAACAAGTCAGGGCAGACAAGGAGACATGAAAGCAAGTACTTGCACATGGTACTGGTAAACGTGCACTGCTATACTGTTTCTGAAAAATACGTATTAATAGTCTGTATTAATATGTCTCAAAACGGTCCCTACTCTGACCCAGTCAGTCTCCTCCTAGGATTGATCCTAAAGAAATAATCCAAGGAGGACTGGGTCCAGGACCTGCAGGAAAAGATCCACGTGTAGGTGGATCCATGCAGTTCACACCCATGTTGTTCAAGGGTCAACTGTAATATGGAATTGTGTTTGTATAACACAAATACATATATATATCTATCCATATTCACACAGAGACACACTGCATGTATACACACACACACTAAACTAAATGTTAGTACGTAATACCATCATGATATCGCTTATATGTGGAATCTAAAAAAAACAATGATACAAATGAACTTATATACGAAACAGAAATAGATTCACAGACAGAGAAAACAAAGTTATGGTTACCAAAGGGGAAAGGGGGGAGGGATAAACTAGGAGTTTGGGGCTAACATACACACACCACCATATGTAAAATAGGTAACCAACAAGGACCCACTGTACAGCACAGGGAACTCTATTCAATATCTTGTAATAACTTATAATGGAAAAGAATCTGAAAAGGAATATATATACACACATATATATATATGTGTGTATATATATATATAACTGAATCGCTGTGCTGCACACCTGAAACTAACACAACACTATAAATCAAATATACTTCAAAAAAAATGTTAGTACATATTAACTAAGGTGTTAACCAACAGTGGTTTATGCAATCAATTTCTCTTCCATTTTTCTGAAGTAAGAACATGCTGTTTGTAAAATGAGGAAGAGAGGTTTGGGACTCAAGGACAGGCTGAACACCCG